TGTAACTTGGAAAAGGCAGGGTTGCTCTGCCCCGGGCTTCCTGATGTCTGCCGCTGGTCAGTTTCATCAGCAGCTGAATCCAGATGCCTGGGACAGAGCAGGTGGGGCGCTGCTGGGTTGGTCTGGTAGTGCCAACCCTTGGCGCTGCGAGACCAACCCCGCAGCATCCCAGCTGCTCTGTCCCAGGTGTACCCAAGTCAGCCGCTGCTGAAACTGATCAGGGGCTGATTCCAGGAATCCCAGGGCAGAGCAGCTCTGCCTCGGGCTTCCTGGAGTCAGCCGCTGGTCAGTTTTAGCAGCGGCTGAATTGGGGAAGCTGGGGGCAGAGCAGCTCCAATGGTACAGCTGCCCGGAGCACTTCCCGGTTCCTGATGGTGCCGGACCATCAGATGCCGGACCATCGGAGTTTTACTGTAGTATTAAGATTATGGAACAGAGCTTAGTAATTAAGTGACACATGTAAATGCTTTTTAAAACTTTTTCCTATTCTGTTTTTACGTTTAAAATTAACATTTTTTTAAAAGTGCATAAAAGTTAAACCAAGAGGATGTTTCAGCTGTATGTCTTGTCCCATTTGAATATACATTTTTTTTTTTAGGGAAGTGTGAACAAATGGGATACTCTAGAGGATGGATGTTCCGCTCAGATTCATAATGCAGTATTGGATCAAACCAAGCTGGAATTACAGTTACTTAATTATCTTGATCAAAATTGGAAAAGCGAGTACCATATAAGAACTAATCAGCAAGAAATTGGCTTTATCACATTCTCTTCCAACACTGAACTGGATAAGACAGAGTTAGATATTGCTGTTCATGTAACCTACACAACTGGACAAATGATCATAGCAATTCACAGTCCATATTGGATGGTAAATAAAACTGGACGAATGCTGCAATACAAAGCTGATGGCATTCATCGGAAGCATCCTCCTGACTACAAAAAGCCACTTCTTTTTTCTTTCCAGCCTAAAAATTTCTTCCAAAATAACAAGGTACTGTAAATGAATTTTATTAAGGAACTGACAGCTAAGTGAAATTAGTTATCCTTTCTTTAAGAACTGAAAGTTTTTCAGAACTTTGAAAACTGACAGCTGAAAATGTAGTACAGTAGACTTCTAATAATCTGGCACCTTTTGGACATAGGTGGTGCCGGATTATCAGATTTGCCAAAGAATCAGGAGGTCCGGTACAGCTGCACAGCTTACCAGCTGGCCAGGACACAATCTCCCTGTCTCTCCCCTCCCCTTTCCTCTTCACATCCTGCTCCCCCTCCTCTCCCCTTTCCCCTTAGCTGAAGCAAAACTCTCTTCTCCATACTGTAATTTGATTCCACTCCCTCCCCCCCTTCCTCCACCTTATGCTCCCTCTGTTTACAGCCAGCACCTGTGCTGAGCGGCAGGCTTTTTAATCAGATGGTCAGGAGCTCTTGGCATTTTGATGCTGGCGTATCGGGAGTGCCGAACAGTTGGATGCCGGACTATCGGAGTTTTACTGCAATAAAGTTTATTATATTTACTAGTTATCTTGAAATTAGTACATTTGTGCACCGAGATTAGAGGATTTTTTTTAATACCACATTTTGAGATTTTCTAAGGAGATGAGAAATAACCTATTTTTAGATTGTAAATGAAGCATGAAAATAGAAACTGAAAAATCATTTTAAGGTATGATGTATTATATGGAGTTTCATTTAAAAGAAAAATGTTAATCAACAATTGCCATCATGGTACTGGAGATACTGCAGGCATTTCTGTATTTTTGGAGGAGACAGGTGCCAGATCTCACTTTGAGAACTTGCACTTGCCACTGAAAGTGAAAACTGAAGATGATCAGTACTTTCTGTGATTTATCACTGCCTGTGGTCTCTTGGATATAACAATTAAGATAGCAACCATTGGTAAATGGTATAAATGGAAGGGCCAAGATGCCCAAATCTAAGATAAGTTCCATTATGCTGGCCTCTGCTCCAAACAGCTTTCAGTCTAAAGGCTCTGATCCTTCAAGCTAATCTCTGCGAGTGCAACAATTTGTACATGTAAATCATCTTTAAGATCAAGGTTTAACTGAAGATAAGAAATTTTGTGCAAAAGTCTAGATTTTGTCTATCAACTTGGTTGAAAAATAAGCAGAGCAAAACACTAGTACAAATTAAATATGTTCAAACTGAAAACACTGTGTGTGTGTTTAACATTCTTAAGGCTACTACTGAAGTGAAAGATGGTTGTAACAAGGAATTAAGGCATCCTAGAAATGGAAAGGGATGTGTGTGTGTTTGTGTGTGTGTGTGTGTGTGTGTTTTTAAATTGGGTGACGATAATTAGATAAGATTGATACAGCTTTTTGATGTTTTTAAGGGATTACTTGGCAATTTGTTTAAGCTTGGAACCCACTATTAAAATGATTAGGTATTTGTAATCCTGATCGTAAACTTTGCCATGATGAGAACATACCAGAGAGAGAGAAAATGAGAACCACATGACATTATAATTTCTGTATGCCTCAACTAAATGATGAACAAAATCTTAGATATTAATCTGTAGTTTTTTACCTTTGTCTCTCTTTTTTTCTCCTTTTTTATCTTCCTCTTTTTTTCTTCTGACTTAGCTAGTTAAGACAAATCTGCCTTTTATAATACTGTGATGGGTCTGTGACCTAAAAGCAAGCTAAAGTAACACTTTAAACAGTTAGATTTTATTAAAAGTTTACTGTTTCTTGGAGTGGTTATTAAGATTATGATCTTTGCATGTAATTTCTTGGAAAATAATTAAAAAGCGAGGGAGACTGTGTGAGAGAAGTATTTTCTGGTTTTACTATTTTTTCTTTTTCCTTTTTATTTTTATGGGTTTTTTTAAGTCTTAAGACCATTTGATATGATTTTTTGCCAAAAATAGGACAGCTATAACACCACATTTTATATTAAGTACTGTCAAACAGTTTAAATATATATAGCCAGAGGAAAAGGGACTATGGGAAATTTGTTAAAAATAGTATTACTTAACCTTTCAGACCACAAATCAGGACACATACCTACTCAGAGCAAAGCTTAAGCAGATGCTTAATGTAAAGCTGTGCAATAGTGTTGCTTAAAAGGTTAACATATTTTAGTACTGGTTGTTGTTATGGGTGATAAGTTGACACAAAATTGCAATTTATTGGTTAATGTTGTAAGAGATGATAATTTTAAATTACCTTAAGCCTTGTTTTGAAAACTGCTTTATTAATACAATAGATATTACAAGATTGCATAAATGTGCATGTGGATTTAAAGAAACACTGATGTAAAGAAGTCAAAGATAACAAAGAAGATCAGAAGATATGATTGTTTATAAATCTGGCTATTTTAAATATATTTCATTCATTTTCATAATCTAAAAAAAATTATTTTTACAGGTGCAGCTTATGGTAACTGACAGTGAACTGTCTGATCCGTTTTCTCTTGATACTGTTGGCAGTCATGGTTCTGTTAAATGTAAGAGTCACAAAAAGGAGTACCAAGTGAGTATAATATGCATCTATCAAACTTCTATATGTCTAAAAATATAAAAAAATCAAATGACTAAAATTTTAAACAATTTCCTTCATTCACAGGTTGGTGTCACCATCAATAACAGCAGTTTTAATATTACAAGAATTGTAACTTTCACCCCCTTTTTTATGGTAACAAACAGAAGCAAATATACTTTAGAAGTAGCCGAAGAAAGCAGTGAAAAATGGATTCCTGTCACTTTTCAGCAGGTAGATTTTTAAAAATCAAACCCTAAATATTTGAACTGTACACAGTTTCTCAAATTTTCAATTTTCATTTCCCACGCAGGTTGTCTTAATATTTTTGTGTTATACTGTTTAATGATTATGCAGAAATCTGAGGGCCTGATTTTCATATACTATTCAATGGAAGTAAGGATCTTACTTGAAGCCAAGTTGTAGCTTACCTTGAATGGCAGGGCAAGATTAGAAGGAGGCTTATGGCACATCCTAGTCACATCACAGGTAGCAGCCCTGGAGAAGCAGTCCTCTGAGAGCTTCTACATTCTCCTCCTTTCCCCCACAAAAATGAATGGGGAGTAGGTGCAGACTTGTTTCGTTTCCTCTTATGGTTGTGATGGTTTAGTTGTGCTGACATGTTGGGCAATGTGCAGTTTACTCCCTTCTCAAAGCAGCAGAACAATGAGTGTCATATTTTCCTTATGGATTGGTCTGAGTACGGTTATGCTTAAATAAGAGTATTAGAATATGGCTTAATGAATTGTAACCATATCTTACAACTGTTGCATGTAGAGTTCATGATTACAAAAGAAAAATAACAATTGAATATAAAATTGTTAAACCACCATTTTTCATAAACAACATGGGAATTACCACACTGGATCAAGGTGGAGGTCTGTCCTTTTAAGTAATCTTTCCATGGCAATGGCCAGAGCTAGATGCCCCAAGGAGTTTATTAAAGGAAAATATCTTCTTGACCTTCTATCAATTAGATTATTTTTTGCCTTGAAGAATGAGGGTGTATTTCCGTTCTAAGTTTCTACGTTTTTCTAAATCCTGTTTGATTTAACAGCTTTTTCTCATTATCTGTACAGATATCTTTTTTTATGAATACTACTAAGCTCTTTGGATTGGTGATATCTAATGACAATAAGCTAGATGGAGTACATTGTGTAAACGATATTTTTTTAGTTTAAATTTTCTGCCTTTCAGTTGAATTAAATATCCCCTTGTTGTTGTGATTAGAGAATAAGTAGGTTTATTTATCTTTTTGTATTTCTTCAGAATTCATTATATTGTTATATTCTATACATGGATATGTTCTCTCTTATTCACATCTCCCTAAACTGAAGACTCCTGGTCTTTTCAGTCTTTCTAAATAGAGAAAAAAGAAAAGAACATGTCTGTTGTTTCTTTTTAAGAAAGAAAAATTAGAACTCCACGGCATTCCAATTTTAAATCCTTATTGAATTGTGACTCCGAGACCCACTTCAAAAGGATTCGTATGTTGCTAGTTAATCTATCCCAAGAGTAGGAATATTCACAGAACACACAGAAAGAAATTAAGATTAATGACCTGTAGCCAGAGTTCTCTAAGATGGACTGCATATGCATACTCCTCTCCATCTTTCCTATCTTCCTTAGGGGTCATAATTAACAAAGGATTTGAGGTGACAAGGGAAGAAACTGAGGCAGCCAGAGTATAATTCTCCTTTTTCTTCCCTTGCCTCTGAATATTCATAAACAGTATGATGAGTGACATGTGAGTGTTCCAAATATTCAATCATAGTTAAGGTTCTGTCCAAGCTGCTCTGGTGAAAGCATCTTAAGTGTGGTAGTATGCAGAGTCCACCTTGAAAAAACCTTGTTGCAGGTGAGTAATCTTCAATTTTAATGAAAAATGTCAAAATTTGTAGCTGCTCAGCCACGTCAGTCTCAAGTTTTTCCAAATATCTACAGTACCTAGTTCTGAGCTCACTTGTTGCTCTCTAACTTGTTAGATTATACCAGCTCCTTCTTTTTTGACACGTGGCTCTGACACTGCCTCATTTTCTTTGTCACAGCTAGACCCAGTCCCCTCTAGATGGTCACCAGTCTGTAAGTGGACCAAACATGTGGGCTCTACATGTTTTTAGCTCTTGTTTTCTAGAGTGAATTGACAGTCACAGGCGGCTTGTCTGAATTTTTCCTTGATATGTTGGGATGTTATGTCTAGTTCTGCAAGGTCCTTTATACCAGTGCCTCTAACTTCCTGTGTCCTCAGTGGCTTATGCATGCTCCCAAAGGGTTTCCTACCTAGTTGTGGGCACCCTGGCTTCTAGTTTAACTCCTTCAGAGACAAGACAGCATGCAAACAAAGAACATAGCCTTTAGCAAAGGAATTTCTTAACCAGAGTCACTTCAGTGCTTTTTAATAATAAAGTTAGAGATGTTTGTAAAATAACTAATGTACTGAAACATTGTCACTCTCCACTAGTCAGAACTTACCCCTTCTGTGATTCTGAGGTTTTGTCAGCATTTCAAGGTGGGCGGTTTGTCCTGCTTTCTCCATCTCCAGGAGGTTCTTCTTTTCACATCATGATGAACAGCTTCCTGTCGTACGGTAGTTACCCCTTCTTAAATACAGTCTCTCTTACTTTCACTCTGTGTTCAGGCTGAGAAGCTACAGCTCCAATAGCCATGTTGATGCCCCTGTCTAGAAAATTCCCTGTCCTGGTGTTAGGCCAGCAGTTGAGACACAGTCCAAGTTGATGGCTCTACATTGTTCTGTGATAGGATGGATAGATTCAGACATCCCTTGGAACACAGTAGAAAATTGAGTTCCTTGTGTAAAATGAAGATTTGAGTTTGACATGGTCAAATCCCACTCAATCACATTTCTTGCCTATGAAGATGACTTTTGAATATGCATGCTCTGTGGCTAAGATTAGTGCAAAAAAGTTTGTCTAGTTTTTCACAAAGTCCTTTTTATTCTTATCGCTACCATTATTCTGTTTTGCAGTTTTCCTGCTGCTGATATATGAAATAAATAGGTTTCAAACTTGTCTGTTTTGGGTTGTTTAATCTTCAGATTGCCTCTTTGCTTTCCTAATTTCCATCTTACCGTTGACCTTTCCATCTTTCCATTTTACCTTTAATAGATGATGATCCTTTTTGTTAGCTTCATGAGTGTGAATTTCCATGGTCTGTAGCATTCCTGTTTAACTTAAATAGCCTAATCAGTCTTACTATTTCACTTTTGTTTTTCTTGTCTTCCTGCTTCCTGGGTCTAAGAATCTGTGGGAGAGGGAACTTGATGGCATGGTAAGTTAGTGATCTAGCCCTTCACCATTGGAGATTTGAGTTAAGATTGCTGTAAGATCACACACAATTGATCATGCTGGTCTCATCCTAGTAGTACACTTCATATGTTCCCTTTGGAGATGTGCATTTGGGATTATCAGATCATATAGATAGCATTTAAAAGGAGAGAGTTCTATGGCCAACCTTGTCTAATATCTGTCCTAACAGTCTCTGGCTCTAACTTAGGCTTTCCTTCCATAATAACTAAATTCACCCTAAATTTTAAAAGTATGTTTTTTAAAAATCAAAATGTGCATGTGACTCAAGACCTCATTGCTATTCCTAGTTTTATCAGTGACCTTCTGTAAGATCTTGGGCAAGATCTTTCATTGGCTCTTTTTCCCCTCTCCCTCTTTGTTTGTATTTTCTATTTGAACATAAGATCTTTGTCTCTTATGTGATTGTGAGATCTAGTACAGTGGGTCTATGATCTCGAGACCTTTATGCTCTACTGAACTGTAAATAAATAATGTACTGCAACTGCAGTTGTATGATGAAAAAGTCCATTGACAAACAGGAATGAATTAAACTGGAAACAAAACATGCAGTATTTAATTAAGGAAAAGGCAAGTCTAATATTAATTGACCTTATTATACATTATATGCACAATTGAAAAATGTTTAAAAAAAAAGAGTGTGTGAGACATTGCTAATAAAGAGCAAACTTGCAGGGTTCGATTTAATTGCACAGTCCTTCAACAGAATCAGTATTATATTGATACCCAACTTAATTTGCTTATTTAGGGGTTGAATGTATAATACTAGATTTAACATTATACTAAAGTAAGATTTTTGGCATTAAATGTTCCTATTGAAACTAATGAATAATTCATGTATTTTATAAGAGATACTGAACTACTTAAATTAGAATAGGTTTGTGCACACTAATAGTTCACATTGGTTATTCTTTTTGATGTCACGCTTGTGCACCAGCTTTCAAGAATATGTAGCTGGGACCTCCTCGGAAATAAGGGGAGAGAAATACCTGATCTCATGTTAAATGGACTAAATTGGAAACTGGTGGTTAAGTGCCAGGGCTTTCTTAATATACTCTAAATTTCAATTCAGTTTTCCATTACGAGTCCTGTTCTTTTAAAATGCTATATGCATTAGCCTCCTTTCTTTTTTTTTTACGTTAGCTCCTCACTCCTGCCTTCTTTCCATGCTCTTGCTCTAGCTTACATGTCCTGTGTTCCTCTCAATTTATCTTTTTTAGATTAGGTACTATTTAGGAAATCCTAATAGAGTTCCTAATTCATTTTACAATAGTTAAGATGAAAGTGGTTTTAAAAATAATGTTTGTGTGTGTGTGTGCTCTTGAGCACTGTAAGGGGCTGAGACTACAGCCTCTGATGTTGATCAGTACTGTCCCATTGTTTCTCCATATCCATCTTCTGTCTCTTGCCTGATACTTGCTCTGTAAATTCTTTAAGGTAGGGGTTGCCCTTGCCCTGTGCTTGTACAACATGTAGCAAAATGGGTTCTTGGTCCTTGATTAGGGCACCTTGATGATGTAATATAAATAATAGAAAAAATAAAAATGCTATTTGAGAGCTGCATAACAATTTTTTATTCTGATTTTTATTCATTTGACTATAATATTTATTATTTTATTCTAGTGCATTCCCTTTTGGCCTGAAAGGGATTCAAATAAATTGCTGATTAGAGTTGAAAACTCTGACATTCCTCCCAAGATGATCTGTTTTAAGAAGCAAGAAAACTGTACATTGCTGTATTTGGACAATAAGGTAAGTGATTTTTAATAGTTATAAAAGAGACACAAATCCATACTCTACCCACTCCCATAGCAGAGAAAACCTCCACTTCCAAAAACAGCGAAGTACTCCAAATATATATAATCTTTATATATTTTGTAAAAAATGAATGTCAAAATTGAAATGTTGGCTTCATTTGCATTAGTTTCACACTTGTAGAACAGTACAGACTTCATTGGTGTTACTCCTGGTTTATAAATGAAATTCTATTTAAATGAAATCAGAATCAGGCCAATCCTATTTTCTGCCAGTGTTTGATCCTTTAATTATCTCATTCCTGGAAGCAGGTAGATAATGCTCCTTTTTATAAGTCTGCAGTTTTTCAATTTGCCTGTTCACTTTTTGCCCAGCGGTGAGTGACTTTGTTATCTTGATATGAGGTGACGGTAGAGGAAAAAGACTGTAAGCTAGATACTCAGCCAGTTAAAAGGTATGGTAGCAGCATTTAAGTCAGTGGAGCAATGCTCTTATATTCGAGCTGAGGATCTAGACCACAGTGTTAAGTACATTGTCAGAATTCCATAAAATGAACTATAACTTTTACCAATTTGTTTACTGTAACTGAATGGAGAAGTCATAAAAATGAAGGTGTGCTGCAGGACTGCTACCTGTTATGCAATTAGTGATTAACAGTGGGTTTGATTATTATTGCTGAATATTTTTTTTTCAGCTAAATTTTTAAACTCTGATGTGTTTAGGAAACATGAATACAGTTAGAGATTTGTGAAAATAAAGGCCCATATGCTTCTAAATGAATTTTCCATATAAAAGTGTTCTTTTGCGAGATAGGCTGTTTTGTATGTTTCAGTTTAGCGCTGGCTTATGTTAATTGGAAATATATAAAATGTTACAAATAACCAGTTTATAACAATAATGGTGGACAGTTACCCTGTTTGTAAATCTATCCCTTTTTTTCGTTTTGTGTGGAGGGCTGTTGATTGTTATAATGAATTTTTTATATATTTCTGAACTTCCTACAGTGCATGTTTTATTACCTTGATGTTGCACAATATTGTAAAATGAAATAACGAGCTTTATTCACAGGCTTGATTATTACCCATGTTAGTTTACCTGGTAGAGTTAATCTTACTTCTGCCTAAAAAGATAGTTATAGTATAGTGTTCTTCAGCTTTTTGGGGGAGAAGATTAGATACTGACTTAACAAAAGCCTATTGCTGATAGCAGAATATACAAACTCATCAAACATACCATGAAGTTTAAATGATCCAGTCGAGGAAAGGGTTGCGCACTCAACAAATAATTGAGAGCGTAGAATGCCCACGTAGTTTTGTGACACTAAATGCGACTTCACTTTCCTGATGTTAGAAATAGCATCAGGAAAATATACTAAAAGTAGATTAAAAGTGATGTTTGTGACCATAAGCTTTTTAATATTGTAAAAAGTAAATTATATTTTAAGCATTTAAAGGCTTATAACACCACAGATACTTACTATTATTTCATATCTCATAGCTTGGTGGCATTATAGTGGATGTTAACCTGACTGAACATTCTACAGTGATTACTTTATCAGATTATCATGATGGTGCAGCTCCATTTCTGTTAATTAATCATACCAAGGAAGAGATGATTGAGTATGGGCAGAGGTATGTATGCAGTCTTACTATATATTTTAAAAAATATGTCTGTCTTTCTGAGAGTCCATTTGTTCAAGAACGCCTCCTGGTATGCAGCTTCCTCTTATCATAACTTTAAAAAAGGTCAGGGTTTGTTTTTGCCAGGATAATGGGATGTGTGTGGAGTTCAGTTGTTTTGCATAAAATGGAAAGGGAGGGACCTGGAAGCAGGGCATTGTACTGCAGAATGACCACAGGGAGGAGGGCAGCAAGGGACCAGAGATGGGAAACAGGGTGGCTATAACTGCACTGGGCTAGCAGAGGTCAAGGGTGGAGAAAGAGACAACTATCTGCTATATATTTGAGTGTGTGTGTTTCTCTGCCCCTCAGTTGTGGGGGACATGCAATCTTCCCCTGGCTATGCCGTCTGGAGCTACAGCAGCCATGGACTGGCTCCAAGATGCTCCAGTGAGAGGGGGCTGGGATAGTCCTCTCTCCATATGGCAGCCTGCATACTGAACTCCTCATCCCCAGCCCTACCCCAGAACAAGTATTTAAATTAAGAGAAACAAAATTTATTTTAATTATGGACCCAAGCATCACTGGCTATAAATCTTCTAGTGTTCTACAATTCTCCATAGCGTAGAGTTGCAGGTTGAACATATATGATTGCATGTGTATATGTGCTTACAGTGAATGGGTTGCAAGTTCACATACATGTATAGGTGCTTATATATAAATTGTGTGTGAGAACAAGAATGTGCAATTTATAAACATCTAAGATTTCTATACTGTCTCAAAGAGCTGTGAAAAATCAGATGAAAAACAAAATATTCAGCATGTTCCATGAGGCAGAGGTGTACTCAAGGTTTGCAACACATGATATTCTGTTCATGTAATACTCTAATATAATGTATGTCGTGAGAGAACTTTATAAATTGGTATACACCTGAATTTGGAGTCTGCTGTTGCAAAATCTATAATCTTTTTTCTCATTTATTACATATTATATTTTTAGCCACTCTACATTTGCATATTCGTAAAACATACTACTTCAAGTGCTTGCTCATGTCCATTCAACAGAGGTGTGTGTGCTTACCACATGCACCAGTGCAAGAAGATTTTCCCTTACCCAGGCTCCTATGGGTATGCTATCAGTGCTCCCTGGAGTAGCGTGTCATGCCATGCTATATAGGGTGCTCCTGGGCCCTTCCCTACTCAGTTCCTTTTGCCTCCAGTGAAGGTGCTTGGAATACTGCTCCAGCCTTACCTGTAGTGTTAGTCATTTCCTCTATTTAGTTGTAAATAGTTTCTCTTTAGCCACTGTAGTTAATAACTAGTTAATCCTCTGTTGGGACTTAGCCTAGGGATGGGGCATTCCTCATTCTCCTGGCTTTAAAGCAAGTGCTGTGTGTTGCAGACTGTGCCAGTTAGCAACCCACATGCTGACTGTCTCTGTTGTGTAATTCTCTTAAACATCTCCTCCAAGTGCAAGATGATTTGCAGTTCTTTTCGCCCCAGGACAATAAGAGATAGGGGCATTCAGCTAAGGATGCTACTTGTGAAGTCTTCCTTAGAGCCACAAGAGCTGCACTTGGATTTGGCTCAGAGTACCTCGGACTCGATGTGGAGCGCCCCTCCAGTGCCAACTGGGCACAGGTGAAAGCTACTGTTTGCAAATAGGTCACTAATACACCAGTGCTCACCAAGTGCACAAGGACAGGTGGGCTTCTCGTAGCCTCACTGGTTTGGTGTGGGTCTCACTATGGAGTCCTCAATATCCTGTACCTTGGAGCACAGACTATTGGAGGCATGTACTCTACGGCCACAGTGGTGTCAGAGACAACACCACCAGGCACTATTCGCCTTCCACGGCAATGCTCCCCTCGGAACCACTAGTCACCACCACCAAGCAGCTCTGGTTCCTGTTACCCTCTTTAGAGGTCCAGATCCACATCCCAGCACTAGAGATTGCCATCCCTGAGTGCACATAGCTCTTCAAGTGATTGTAAGAGCCCTCTTTAGGCATCATACTTGGTCATTGAGATCACTGTCAGTACTGGGATCTCAGCACTGCAGGGAATGTAGTGCATGCTCCAGGTCATAGGCCTCCTCTAGTGTCCACTCAGCAGGTGCTATCTCAGCCTTCCTGCCTCTGGTGCAGTCCTCGGCACTGTGCCCAGAGCTATACCATTTCACACTATTTTTGAAATTTGAATAAAATTGACCAAACACAAATGGGGATTAAATGGAAACAAATATGAGCTATGAATAAGTTTTCCTAATACCTGCATGAGAAGTTCATTTATGTTGCTAATAAAATATTTTTTACATTTTTAAACATTATAATTCCACTAAGATGAACTATCCCACACTTTGTAAAATTATAAACATGTAATATAGATTTAATTACTCTTTAAATTTCCCACTTTTATAGTTTAAAAAAAACACCTGTATTAATATATTCCAAGTAGAGTATTGCCAAGAATCAGGAAACCTAGTAGTGATAGATGGATATTATGAAAGTAAGAATAAATTAACAGGTACGAAATGTTGCAATTATTTGATTTATGTGTTAGATTTTCAGTTTGTGTAAGAGATCATTGAATGTTTATTGTTAATAATTATTTTGCAGTTCTCTCAATGTGATGGAAGATTCTCTTATGCCAAATAAAGCGGTATTGTATACCTGGGCTGATCCAGTAGGCTCTAGACAGTTGAAATGGAAATGTGGAAAGAAAGATGGAGAAGTAACGCATAAAGATGTATGTGTACTGCTTAACCTAATACAACTTTTACCAGTGGTCTCTTATGATATTGCATTTCTGTTAATTTTAGACCCCAATATTGCCTTTCTGATTATAATAATTATCAAAGCAGCTTTCTAGCAGAATCACTAGCAGACTAGTTGTACTTTATTTACAGACATTTTTTTCTAAAAAATTAGTAGTTTATTAAAATACCCATTGAAATGTATTACATGGCTAGGTATTCAAAAGTCAGATATTATGGTTGCCAGCCAAACTCAGTTCTTTCTCTTGTACTATGCACTGCAATAGCCTTTAAATTGCATGATCATGCTATCTCAACAAATAGAAAATACTCTGGCTTTGGTTTTTTTTACAGTCTTTACATTCTTAGATACACACAGAAGATGGCATATATACGTGTGATGAGTTGGGTCACAGAAATTCCCTTGAGATTGTCACTTGATGTGCTGAAATACCACTGAGTCTGTCTGCCTTCTGGGGTGCCCCATCTTTCTGTCCTGTTGAGTGAGACTCTCCTCTAGCAATGCAACAGAATTGGAGTCACTGCCCATAGCAGCGAAATAAAGACTCTGAGATTAGATCAGCTCTGCGAAGACTTAGTAAAAGGGTCTTGACACACCACCCATTTGCACAGCCCAAATAGGACCAGACCCCAGATAAATCTCTTTTACTCTGTATGAAGTTTTACACCGAGTAAGCTCATAATTTTTTCTCCCCCTTTGAGAGCTGCACAGGTGTTGTCCACACCCAGGTAGTAATTATTTACACTGAGTTTATTAATAAACAGAAGTGATTTTATTAAGTATAAAAATAGGATTTAAGTGTTTGCAAGTGATAGCAGACAAATCAAAGTAAGTTATTAAGCAAAATGAAACAAAACACACCAGTCTAGTGAAATACTGTTAAGAAACTCATTACATTCAGTTTCTTACCCTAACAGTAGTTATAATAATCTTTTCTTACAATCTGGGAAGCCTCCCAACTTGGTCCTGATCCTTCCCCATGTTCAGTCTTAGATATCTGTTTCCAGCAGCCATCTTGGGTGGTAAATTGGGGTGCTTTGGCATTTGGCAGCAGTTCCTATTATTTGGTTTCCTTTCTATATATAGGTTTTGCCTGATGCGAGAATCCTGTGTGTTCAGATCAAGCTTTTTTCACCTCTCCTGCAAAAGTATAGCCTCCAAAATGGGCTCTATCATCAGATGGCCTGGCCTGACCAAGCATATCTTGCAGGACCAAGCATAGTGCAGGCTTACAAGAAAATCAAGACTATTCACACATCATTGTACTGCGCCATTAAGCTCATTGTGTACTACTAACTGCCCTCACTTAGCATATCTAGATAGTAACAGATTTAAGCATTTTGCATCGACTATTCGATTAGTCAATAGGGTGCCTCCTCCTTTAAAGTGTAGCAACTGCCCTAGGGTTATTGCTATACTTCAAAGGCAAAAGTGCCCCATGGAGCCCCAGGATCAGCTGGGGACTCCCGCTGACCCCGAGCTCCACGTGGTGCTGCTTTGAAACCACCACATGCAGTCTGGGGACACCTCGGCTGCCCCTGGGCTGCACACGGCGTTTCAACTATCCAGTAAGCCTGTCGACTATCCAGTAAGCATTTACTTATTGGAGAGTCGACTAGTTGTTCACATCCCTACTTTAAACAGAAGCAATTGAAAAGAGCTTACAGCTCTGCCCCCCGCGGCCCATTGCCTGTGAGCTTCCTGGGAGGTCTGAGCTCTTTCAGCTGCTTCTATTTAAAGGGCTTGTGCCTTCCAGGCAACTGCCAGACAACAGGTTAGCAGTGGAGGCCAGGAGCAGTGAGCCCTGTTATATGCAATCTAAGCTTCCACCCCAGACAACTCTGGGAGGAGGCTAGCCCCTGACATGCTCCCTTCTGCTCCAGGCCCCTTCCATTGGCCAGAAGTCAGGGGCAGGGACCCTAGGCCAAGCAAAACTCCCAGTAGGGTAGCTCTCAACCCCTCTCTTTCCGGTCGGCCTGCAACCACTTCTGAAATTTGTGAAGTGGCCCCCCCTTTCAAAAAGTATTGTCCACCCTTGCATTAGGCTGTTGTCTTTATCAGTGCTTGCACAATTGTGATCTTGCTTTATTATTCAAAATTGTACTATTTCAAATAACATATTGCTTATGAATATGCTATGTTTTTCCTATTCTTACCTTCTCTGGTATCTACCTTCCCAGTGTCACTTTTATTTGGTCAATGTCAATATTGCTACAAAATTTGCATAGGTTTGTCAAAGTAGAATGAACAAGAGTTGCAAACATTTGGGGTTTTTTTTCTTCTCATGTAGGATATGATGACATCAATTAGCCTGGATAATAAAAAGACAGTTTATATAGCTTCATTTTTTGAAGGCTTGCAAAGAATTATCCTATTCACTGAAGATGAGAGTGTATTTAAAGCAACATATGAAAGTGAAAAAGTAGAACTAGCAGAACAAGAAATTGTTCTGTCATTACAAGATGTTGGAATTTCTTTAGTCAACAATTACACAAAGCAAGAAGTGTCCTACATTGGAATTACAAGGTAAAGTAATCTATTCAGTAGGGGAATCACTGTAAGAATTATTTCAAGCATTTTAAACTAACCTAGTTTTATGCTTCTTGATATCTAATCTAGTCGTCTTGTGTTAGTACTGAAACATTGTATGTTTGTAGGTTGCATTCAGAATTCCATTTCCATTTAATTGTGTGCTTCAAATTGGTATCTGTTTTATATGGGTATGTGTGTGTACAATATGTTCTGTTAAACTTTCTACTGTACGGCTCTGCTCCTCATTCATCACTAATTGGTAATACCTCCCCTCCCACCTGTTGTATTTGCAAGGATTCCAGTGCTATTGGGGTAGACTCCAGATTTCAGCATAGGCCACCAGATTTTCTTCTTCCAAAAGGAGAACAAGTTAGAAGTTCAATTTCTCCCAACCGTTATGTTTTATAACTAATTTAGCTCATCTAGCACCTTATGAGTAGCTCCCTCTGCCCCCTATCGCATAGCAAATAAACCCTACTAGCACCTAACCAATTCTGAGATCTACTGTATATCTGAGAGTTTGACTCTGTCGGTCTGTCTCTCTATCCATCTGTCTGTGAGTCTATTTGTTCAAGAACTCTTTTTAACCAGTAAGAGCTAGGACCACCAAATTCAGTATACAGATTCCTCTTATCATAAAGTAAAGCAAGGTAAGGGTTTGGTTGTTCCAGGACAATTGGATGTGCGTGGAATGTAATGTTCTCATAAAATGGAAAGGGAGGGTTCTGCTAGCAGGGACAGTTATACTATATAATGACCACGGGGTGGCAAAGGGAACAGGACAGTTATAACCCAATTGAGCCAGCAGGGGGTAAGGGTGGAGAAAAGGACAACTATCTACTATATATTTGAGGGGTGCATGTCCAGTAGGGGGACATGCACCTCTCCCCGGCTGTGTTCAACGCAGCTGCAGCAGTCATGGACAGGCTTCTCACCTGGCCCTAAGGTGCTGTGGTGAGAGAGGGCTGGAGTTGTTGCCTCTTACTGGGGCAGCCAGCATACTGAACCCCTCATCCCCACCCCAGAGCAATGATTTAAATAAAGTAAAACAAAGCTTACTTGAGTTAAGGACGCAAGCAAAACTGGGTAAACCCTTTAGTATGCTATATTTTAAAGGACTCTCAGGGAACAAGCTATGACTTGCTGACATAAGCCACCAAATCTTACTCTTCCAAGAAGAGTAAAGTATTCCTCTTCCTTTTCATCAATATTCTGCACCCAGATTGTTTAAAAAAACAGCTGGTAGTGGCTACAGCAAGGTTCAGATTGCAAGTTATACATCTGTACCATTCAGGGGAATATCCCAATCAGTGCCCTACATGGAGAATATACCCACTCATAAATTGCCAGGTGCAGGAAACAATTTACAATCAAGAAACGCTTTTTGATCCCAATTCAGAGAGCTGTTTATCTGCGGTCAAAATAGGCATGGCTCTACAAATGTTTGCCATGGTGGTAAATTGTCAAAGAACCAAAACTTTACCAAATCACTGTTTTTCTCGCAAAATTTACAAGCTAAAGTTGCTGGTGATATGAATTAATGTCATCCCCTGAGTGGGATATCTCAAAATGTGTCCCCAGAAGTTCCTTCTAAGGATGTAGAACTGCATACTAAACAAAATGCAAAATTAGGTGGTATTTCCAAATAAAATGATCCCCCTTGTAGGCAGGTAAGGAACATAGAACATTGTGAAAAAACATCCTGTTTTTCACTCTAGAACCCCGTATAGTCACTATAGAAGGGGACTCAGAGGGGCCAATATCTTGATAGTAAGACAACGAAGGGGTTATGGTCCCACATTTTAGACAAAGGAAGATGTTAGTTGCCTCAGGCATCATTTTTTTTAAATCTCAGCATACTTCACTTAACAGCTCTGTTAATGACATGTCTGAGCAAAAATGTAGGAATGACTGTGTGAGATCAGACTAGTGGTCCAGCAAGTCAGATATTCTTTTTGCATCTGGCAGTGACCAGTGTCAGCTGCTTTAGGGAAATGTGCAAACCCTGTGGTAGTCAATTCTGGAATAATTGCTCAGATGGGAAATTTCCTACAACTGGCTGTTAGAGATTGGCATATGCTGTGAGGCATGAATGTGTTTTCATTCCTTACAAAACTGAAGAATAAACAGGAATCAAAGCTTCTTCCAGAAGCAGTGTTGAGGGCAGAGAAGAATTTGCTGCCTTTTTGCTTACTTTACCTAAACTGTTCAGAAAGAAAGAAGAAGAAATCTTGAAGTCATTCTCTTAGTCTTGCACTGGCTTGATTTATACCTGATAGAGACCAAGAAGGAATTTCCAATGTACTTGTTGAAGAGACCAAACTTCTTCAGTCAAGGTCCCCATCTTCATCTGGATCTGGATCACCTACGGGTAACAGCTTGGGCGATCTGAAGAGGAATGGATTCTTACTTAGCTTCATATATGCATTTTGATATCCCTGCAGAGCTCAATCATGAAATTCATTCATTGATCTGGTCAAGTTTTATTTTTAGTGTGATGGTAAACAACAAAAATCCTGAAATTCTGTTGACATCAGCTACACTGGAATTGCTCCAGGATATTTGGTTCTTGTCCTAAAATCAAGCACTACAGTACAGTGGGTACCAATGCTGATGGCATCAGGCTCCTTGACTGAAAATCCTCAGATGTCAAGATCATCCAGATGACCAGAGGACATATGCCTGCAGTGAGCAATTCTATTTGCATTTAGAAAAAGAAGTTTCAGAATTAGAGCCCAAATGTTATGGTCTGTGGGGGGAGAGGTGGAGATTATTTTTATAGTACCAGAAATATTTCTGATAAATTCTTATCAGGTTGGGAAATGGTACTTCCATCATTTGATTTTTTCATTCCTTTGGAAATGTTTGCCATAAATAAACATTTATAAAGCTCTAAGGATGTGTCTTCCAAATGTACTGAGTACACATTCTAAGTGTATCTCATTAATCTTATTTCATCCAAAAATTATTAAAGATCTAGAGAACATGACCTATGAAGACTGAAAGAATTGTGCTTGTTTAGTTTAGAAAAGAGAAGACTGAGAGGGACATTATAGCAGTTTTCAAGTATCTAAAAGGGTGTTACAAGGAAGAGTAAGAAAAATTGTTCTCCTTGGCCTCTGAGGGTAGGACAAGAAGCAATGGGTTTAAATTTCAGCAAGGGAAGTTTGATGTTCCTTGTGTTGTAAGATGAGGGCCTGAAACATGAGCCCATGTATTACAGGGTTGCTAGGAGGCCTAAGGCCTAAGCCACAGTGGTCAAGACTTTGCTAATATAAAGCAAAGTTAAGCTGTGAGAAAGAGGAAGGCCCTACTCACAGAAGCTGGCATGACCAGGGTTAATGGTGTAAAATACTAATTGGTACTAGGCACAGGCTGGAAGCACATTCCAGAATACCTCCTAGAGAAACATGCTCTCCCCACAGAAAACAGGGACATACCTACCCAGGTTCAGGACAGGGTCTAACCTGACAGCATGATAGACAGTGATCAAACCTGCACATAAAGGGTAATGGATGGTATCTGAGTAATGTCAGAGGGTGCAAGCCGATATGTCAGGAGTGATGTGTAACTTGTTTGTATCTATGTATAAAAATGTACCTTCAGGGAGTAGTCTTTCCCAACCTAGGGGTCAATGATGAATCCCATGCTACTAACTGAGTCAAGTCCATTGTCACGGGCACACATTCTTAGCCTGACTGTAGACATCTGATCCGGACAAGCTATTACAGTAAACTTCAGATAATCCGGCACCTTTAGGACCCAGGGGGTGCTGGATTTTCAGATATGCCAGACTATCCTGGAATCAGCAGCTGGTCAGTTTCAGCAGCGGCTGAATCAGGGAAGCCAGGCACAGAGCAGCTCCAATGGTCCGGCTGCCCGGAGCACTCCAGGTTCCTGATGGTGCCGGACCATCAGGAGTGCCGGACCATCAGATGCCAGACCATCGGAGTTTTACTGTAATGGGTTGAAGCACTAAAATTTTGTATTGGCATCACCGAGCTCAGGATTGTGTCCCAAGTATTTATAGCTTCAAAGATACGGCAAGAAACATATTAAAATCCTGCACCTGTTACTATGCTAGACATGAGTGAAACCATTCATACAGGAAATTAAGAATGCTAGTGGCATTGTGGATAGAAAATTGGATCTGAATCT